GCATTCATAAAGAATCGGAGGGTAGGAGATGTGAACAGTGATTGTACCCAGGCTTTCTAAGTACAGAGAAGCTGAACTGCTTTGACAGCCACACTGAACTGTTCCCCCAGCCACTAAGTACTAGCTATCACTTGTCAGTTCAGGTTTTTTGGTGGTCTCAGAATGCCAATTATTAGGATTTTCCCTAGCATATGTGTACAGGCAGTCCCCGACTTACGCGGATCCGACTTATGTCGGATCCGCACTTACGAACGGGGCTTTTCTCGCCCCGGAGCTCGCGGGCGGCGAGACCGCCCAGAGCACAGCGGTCCCACCACCGCATCCTCCGGGGCGAGAAAAGCTGCTCCGGGTCTCCCTGCTGTGCAAAGCCGAGCACAGCAGGGAGACCCGGAGCAGCTTTTCTCGCCCCGGAGCTCGCGGGCGGCGAGACCGCCCAGAGCACAGCGGTCCCACCACCGCATCCTCCGGGGCGAGAAAAGCTGCTCCGGGTCTCCCTGCTGTGCAAAGCCGAGCACAGCAGGGAGACCCGGAGCAGCTTTTCTCGCCCCGGAGCTCGCGGGCGGCGAGACCGCCCAGAGCACAGCGGTCCCACCACCGCATCCTCCGGGGCGAGAAAAGCTGCTCCGGGTCTCCCTGCTGTGCAAAGCCGAGCACAGCAGGGAGACCCGGAGCAGCTTTTCTCGCCCCGGAGCTCGCGGGCGGCGAGACCGCCCAGAGCACAGCGGTCCCACCACCGCATCCTCCGGGGCGAGAAAAGCTGCTCCGGGTCTCCCTGCTGTGCAAAGCCGAGCACAGCAGGGAGACCCGGAGCAGCTTTTCTCGCCCCGGAGCTCGCGGGCGGCGAGACCGCCCAGAGCACAGCGGTCCCACCACCGCATCCTCCGGGGCGAGAAAGGCCCCGTTCGTAAGTGCGGATCCGACATAAGTCGGATCCGCGTAAGTCGGGGACTGCCTGTATGTGTAAGAGAGATTAAAAAATATGTTTTTTTCATGTGTAAGTGAAACAGGAATATCTTTCTGTATCTTTATAAACAACTCAGAATAAGTACTTTTGTCAAGATAATTTTTCCATCCTATTTACTAGGAAATGCAGATGTAAAATATTAACATAATTCCAGTGGGAATTATTGGAAGTAGTTTTTGATGCTATAATTTTCTGAAATTCAAATGACATAACCCAAAGAGTTGTCTTTATATAGAATCATTGTAAAATGGTACTGTTACTGTAGCAACTCTAGTTAAGTGTATAAAAGCTATTACTCCCAATTAGGTTGTTAAGTAGTGTTTAATTAGCTAATCAAGTAGTCAATGGAATTTCCATCCATAATCCATAACTGCTCGATTAGTAGATAAGAGGAAGTGCTCGCTATCCCTGCTGCGGGTCTGCAGTTTAAATGTAGTAGGAGCCGGGAGTGCAGGCAGCCCGGCTCTTACTGCATTTAAACTGCAGAGACGCATCAGGGTTAGCTCCTGGGAGCGGCATGAGTCGGGACTCAGCAGCAGGGTGAGGGGAGGGATGAGTAGTCGAATAGTGACTTGACTACCTGATAAACCTAGGCTTATTGGGTAGTCAGCTACTCGACTAGTCGCTCACATCCCTAATCCTAACCTATGTTTTTCAGCATTTATAAATTTCATTTTGGATCAAATTTCTCATACTTATTCTAATATTAATTTGTTTGGAAAGTTTCAAGGACATAGTGTATGTATGCCTAGGGTGTGTGGTCTTTGTTTTTTGCAACCCTTTGCTGTTGAATGGAGGTTGCATAAAATTGCTGTGATCCTCTTTTTTGCCTGTACGGAACTCAAACTCGCCTTTTTAAAGTTTGAATTTTTTTTATTACTAATAAGGATAAATGATTGTGACATGTTAGAAAATACTTAATTTTGATGCAAGTCAGTATTGAAATATGTTAATTCAAAAGCTTTGATTATATATTTTTACTACATTGTCAATAATGGAAAGAAAATAAGATTAATACGACATTGTTGTGGAATTAATTTGTTTTAGTTGGGACCGCCCCTATTATTATAATCAGCATTAATTTTCCCAGTATGTTATGTGCACTGAGTAATAGCCATCAGCACTTCCTACTGATTCACTGTGCATTTTGAGAGGATGCAAGACTGCCTGTCAGACTCACGTAGAGCTCATAAAGCATGTTTAAATATCCTCTAAAATTCTTGGAACTTGAACACAAATCTTATTTTTATATATGGTCATCCTGGAGTGAATGTATTACAGAACTCACATTAAGTTACAATTCAAAGGACTGGATGATTCCAAACAAATGATTTCAAAAGTCAAAATAGACCTAATCTAGTTTAAATGGGCACCCATACGAGAATACCGGGTATTCTAGTCTTCTTCATCTTTATTAGCAGTAGCTGATTGTAAATCTTTGTTCCTATCAGATTTAATACATTTAGCAAAATTTGGTCTGTGTGGTGCTGGGAGCTTTAAAAAATATGGAAGATGTGGAATTTGTAGTTTTATTTATATGTGCCAAGGGCAAAAAAAGGTCTATACAAACACTTGGAACTTGTCTACTCTACCTTACAATTCTGTCTAAAGTTCTACACTGTGTTTATGCTGCAGATGCAAACTTAAAGCTTCCTAGTTGGTATTACAGTAATAAATGCCTCATTAAACCCCTATGTGGATGCTCTCATTCATGTTAAATTCACACTTCTCATTCATTCATATTAACTTCAGTGTGTGGGTGAACCCTAAGTATCTGTGTGGACCCTGCACTATGGTGCAGGCTTTTTTCCTTATATAGACAAGATTGTAGTCTACAGTGCCATAACTAGCTAATTTTGCGCCTGAGGCAAGAATAAAAAATTGCGCCCCCTCATGTATATATTCATAGTAGTTAGTTCGTAGAAAAAAGGAAAATACATAAATAATAACACAATGTTTACTTATTATAGTTATGAGATCTTCATAAACAATCAATTACATACAGATAATTATAAAATATCACCATGTCAGGTACTATTAGGTATTTGTTTATAATTGTGCTTTGTGCGCTTTTAATGAGGCAAACTCATCAAGAATTGCATTGAAATTAATATTATTCACTACCTCATGTTCTATTGATAAGATGGACGTATTTGATAATCTCTCTTGACCTGTGGATGCTCAAAGGTAGTTCTTAATTGATTTTAGTTTACTAAAACTTCTTTCGCAAGAAGCCACAGTCACTGTCCTGTCCCCTTGGTTTGTGCAGCACATTCAAAGCAGTTGGCATAGGTGCTCAGCAGCATGGGCTCCAGTTTTTGGAGGGGAAACTGAGTCCAACAGGCTAAGGGCCTGGACCCTCACCCATAGAACACAGGGATCATAGCTCCCAGACCCCCAGCTCTAATCGCATACCCCTAAGACTTAGAGCCACTCCCCTGGCAGAGGTGAGACAAGACCCAGGAGTCCTGGCTCCCAGCCTGACACCCCCACCTCACCCCCAGCACCTCTGCCCCTGTGCAGGGCAATTTGAGCCTCATCTCTCACAGCCCAGCACCTGGGAACTGTGCTCAGGCATCTTAAGGTGGCAGTTGGTGCAGCTGAACTGGTGCCCGGCCTCCCACGCCGCTCAGAAGCAGCTGATGCACTGGGCAGCCGCTAGGGATGGTGACTGTTGGATCGCGGAGAGGTAACATGCCGCCTGACATGTAAACTGTGGGCTGGCCGATACTAATGGGTGGGGGAGGGAAGCGGCGCTATCTTAAAATAATTAGTTTTCTATATTATTTTTCTGAGCCCCCTCAGTTATGCGCCCGACGCAAGTGCCTCACTCTCTTCGCCCTTGTTATGGCCCTGGTAGTCTATTTCTGTTTGAAAACAAGATAGATCAGAACACAGTATAGAACTTTTAGTGCACAGCAGAAAATGTCCTAGGAGCCGATTCCACATGAATACAGTGCACAGCAGGCAAGTGCTGGGTGGGTAGATTTATAACTCGGCTTGCTGTGAAATAAGTGTTTTTATTGATGAGCCATGAGTTGTACTGTTTTTATCCTTTGGAACCTCTTCTCAGAGTTCTTTTTACATTTCTTCATGCACATTGTAACTGACTTTATACTAAGGAGGGTCAAGTCGGGTATTTGTTTCTAGGGAAGCTGAGTTAGGGGTGGTTTGTACATCTGTCAAGAGTGCTCGCGTAGGAGACCTTTTTGGTTTTTGTTCTTACGGGGTTTATTATTTAGCTAAAGAAATTAGCAAAAATATTGTTAATGCATATTTAATATAAAGGTTAGAATATGGAACCTTTATTCAGACATGTCAGCACTTATAGAAATAATCCCATTGACTTCATTAAAGACAGTGACAATGCTTATAAGAATAAATGAGTTACACAATCAAACAGATTTAAATAATTCCTTGTTTTCTCACCAACTGTCCAACATATATACATATACTGAACACTGCAAATGTGGAAGGATAAACCTGTTCTGGAAATATATCCACACAGGTAATAGACATTGTTCATGAACATCTGATTGTTTAACATAATAGTTCAGTGTTTGGATATGTAAAGCATCAAAGCCCAGATTTTTAAAGATGTCAGGCATTATGTGTCTAAATACCTTTAAAAATCTGCTCTCATTTAGTGAAAGGCCCAAAATGAAACTCAAATGTTTCTACCTTTTTCAAGCAAAGTTAAATAATAATTGACAAATATGCTCTCATATGCCTACGTATATAGATCTTTTATTTTTTCAAACTTTGTCAATAGTATTTTCTTAAATTTAAATAAACATATTGCCAGTGTTTTTATAAATAACATTTATGAAAATCCATGAAGAGAGAAACAACTGTTGAGACCTATTGCCAGGATGATGGATGCTATGATACCAGGTTAAATTGTAGCTTATTCCAAGCAGAAAGGATGATATTACAGTAAAAGTTCATAAAGGACAATCTACTTCTTAGGAATTTGCATTTTCCATGGTAAGTAACCTCTCTTTTTCTCCCTTTTTTTTTCTCCTGAACTTTCCAGGTAAAAGTACTCCTGTAAACCAGCTCGGGTCTGCAGATTTTACCAAGCCCCATGATCCATTCCAGCCATTTGGGGCTGACAGCAGTGACCCGTTTCAAAGTAAAAAGGGGTTTGGGGACCCATTTAGTGGAAAAGATCCATTTGCTCCCTCCTCTTCAAGTAAAACTTCTAAAGACTCTTCCTTGGGGTTTGCAGACTTCAGCTCTGTAAGTTAAGTTCATTGTCTCTGAGCAAACCACTTTCTGCTCTGCTTGCCACAAACTCTTAGGGTTTTTTTTTTGTTTTAACTACAGACCTGCTGTCCACTGGCTTCTTTCTCTTGAGTACCTTCATTCCGTCCCCACTGTAGTTCTGTATTAATATTTCTGTGTAAAAAGGCATTTTTCTCTCAATAATAAAGGAGATTTGAGTTTGATACTAAATTTTAAAAGGGTTCTCTTTTAAATTATTTTAGTATGGTGTTTCTTTTCTCTCAAGATATTTGTAGCAGAATCTGTGTGCTGTTTTTGTTGCATGGAGGCTGTTCTGTAATTGATTTTTGAATGCCAGGATGTAAAAATTCCTCAGAAATAATTGTTGAAGACATTTGTATAGTAGTTTTACCATATCCTGAAAAGTAATACTTAAAACAAAGGGTTCCTTATAGTATTTGTAACAGTTCATGAAAAAGTTCTGACAGTCCAGTCACAATGATTTCTATATACTCTGGAATATGAATCATAGACACAAGAGAGAGATTGAAAATTATTAGCTGTTGAATTTTGTTTCAGTTGCTGATAATGTAGAAGTCCTTCTTAGACAAAGCAAACTAAGGTCTTTTTTTGTAGAACCAGTATATTAACATCCATATTGCACCCCGTTAAAAAAGGTCAAAAGGTCTTACAGCAAAGCTAAGTGCCTTTCCAGGATTAAGTACAGAGTTTCAAAAAGCCTGACTTTTTGTTTCTGATGTTGGCAGATATATTGTATAATGGTTTCAAATGTAATATTAGAAAGCAGTTTTAAATGCTACCGCTGGTGAATAGAAAATGTTTCATACAAAGCCTCTGGCTTCTTCCTTCTTTCATGTATTTAAGTTTTGTTCTGGATTATATTGACACAAATAAAATAGCCAACTCTATTCTTCTAAATCTAGAGGACATATTTTACTGTTAAGCAGCTGTAGGTTTTTATTTTAAAAGTTTAATCTCAAGTGGTGTTAATTTTAAACAGTTTCCCCCAGTATTTCAGTTCAGAGTAAATGTATATCATTTTCCTACCTGATATGTCTAATTGAGATCCTCTGTGCATATTTTTAGTTGCCCTCAATTCTTTATCTGAAAATATCAACACTCAAAATATTATGTAAACTTTACCATAATTAGCAAAAGTCTGTCGAAAGTTGGTACATAGTTAAATTCTGTGCCTGTACATAAAATGGTGATATAATAAAATTCAGACACAAAATTTGTTTTATCTGAATTTTTTTTGAATGGTACCTAATTTTTTTTCTTTGGGAGCAAAAATGTAATGTCTAAGCATAAAAATGGAATGACTGTTACCCAGTAGGGAAGTTTGTTTTGACAGAACACAAATATTTATTAGCTGGTAGGCTCAAATAGGTCATGAGTGGTTATTACCAACTGATAACCAGTGTCATTTCTTCCATTTAAGTTTGTGTTTACCCTTGTACCATCAGGGTTGTAAGAGCGAGGATCAACCTTGGAAAGAAAAATATAGGATCTGAATAATCTTTTATCATTTAGCCAGTCATAGCTTAAGTTAACTTGTCATCGGGCAGTATTGAGTCTGATTAAACAGATTTAAACTTGCATTTGTAAATGTCATCTATTACTCTGAGAAAACACTTCATTTGGTGCTTCTTTTAAAAGAGAGTGGTTTATTTGTTTTGTCTATTTTATTCAATATTATTTTCTTTTTAGTTGTTTATAACCAGGATCATGTTGCCATGTTTAGTAATGCTTCATCTCTTGCTTTTTTAAATCATAACTAAACCAGATATCTCATAAACCAAGAAAAGAATTGTGCTTGTCTGTTATTTGGATCCTGTTCTTGATTATGAAAGTTCCTAACAACTCAATTTACAGTGTGTTTTCTGACATGAAGTGTGTTACTGTACTATTTGAAATTAGCATGTTGATTAGGTGGAATTCTTCATGATTACAAGCAAAGAGAAGTTTAAAGATTTCCTTTAGTTTTTTATTTGTTATTCTAGGGGGTTTTATTTGAATTACTGGGTTGTTCTTATCCATTGGATTTAATAACATGATTCTATTGCATTCTTGACTTGGGTATTGACATAAAATATGGGTGCTAGGAACAGACAAAATGTTTTGTTAATTTTTTAGATATTTCTAACTTCTTATTTCAACTTGTAGGAAAAATTGCAAAATTCCAGTAATCTTAAAATCAGTAGAAAAAGACAAGTCAAGTGACAGCTTCTTTTGGTGGAAGGGAAAGCTGGAAGAAGTTGGTCAAAGGGACAGCCTGTCCCTTCCAACAAAAAAGTTGGTCTAATAAAAGATATTACCTCCACTGACTTTGTCTCATACCAACATAGCTACAACTGCACTGCAAATGATAGAAAACACATTTTCTTTTTCAAGGAAGAGAGCATTCAGAACTAAGCTCAAAGAATGCTCGTTATTCAATGCATATGGATTTTGTTTGTCTTTCCTCCATTTATACTGGGCCATTAATGTACTTGTTCTAATATTTTGAAAAATATATCCATATTTATTGAGTGTTGTTTTCAGATCCCTTGTACCAAATAAGACTATCAGTGATGATGAATACTAAATCTTTGTGAGAGAATTTTGTTTTGAAGCACTAGCTTTTGTTGAAAACTAGATAGCAACAATAATCATGTTATACTGATATACTTTTAGCTCAGTAAGATGACTTTTATTGGCAACCTGCATGTTGAACAGTGATGATATTGAATTATTGGTTGTATATTCCACCACTGAACATTTAAGGTTCATTTAGACAGATCTGAACTTTCAAAACCCATGTGAATTGAGAATTTAGTAAATTCAGTCAAAATACTGTTTTTAATCTGGTGGTGATTATAATTTGTACTTATGCTTTTGAAATGCCATGGTTGATCATACTAGCACTTTGAGATAATGTAAAAATGCCAGTCAAATATCAAGCATTCCACACTAGTCAGAAATCCACATTTTCTTTGCGTTAAATCAACTTTACTCTTTTAGTTGGCTTTTCTAACTACACACTATAATTTCAGATATGTATGAAATACATATGCTTTCTTTTATAAAAGTTAGAAACATGCATCTTGTCCTAAGGAATGAACACCACTGGTAAACCTATTTTCTCAACTTTTTGAAAAAATATCTGAGATTAAAAATGATTAGCTGAAGTTCATATATCTAAAACTTTTATAGTAACAGTAATTTCACCCTAATTCTCATCCCAAGGATTTTCTTTTGGAAGTTAGGAAACTTTGGTGAAATTCTGGCCCCACATTGCCTGACTTAATTGGGGCCAGGGTATATCTTTCATTGTCTTGAAAATTATATATTTACAGTTTAGTGATCTTTTAAGCCTTACTTATCAGCTGTTCACTGAAATAAGTTGTTGTAGTAATGGACTGCACACTTTCTTTGTTTAAAACATCAAAGTTGCTAAGATGCAATGCACTTCTATTATGCACTTTGCATTCATGACATTAGTTTTTTAGCAGTAATAGCAGGGGGAACTGCAAACATCCAGACTAACATAAAAATAAAATACTGTATAACTAAAAAGATCAGATAATTGGACATAGATTAGCTTTATTCATTTGGACCAGCAAGAAATGTTATCTTATAAATTTGTTTAAAAATAATATGAAGCATGGATACAGTGTGTAATGGAAAGGTAAATTCTTGGGAAAATGTACACATAAGAGTATATAATAAACTAGATAAATGCATATCTATCAATTCTTTTATTTTATTTAATGTTCAGTATATGCTTTTGTGAATTGAGCCCTATATGGATATGTGCTGGATGCTGTCCAAAATAAGTCAATGCAGCTGTGTATTGTGCTGTAAAGATTATATCCCATCATGGACCAGGAGGTAGCATTCAGTTTATACAAATTTGATTCAGTCAAAGTTGAAATTTAGAGTTCTGTGCACTGGTTTTCCATCCTAAAAAATAAAATTAATACATTTTTCTGAGGATTTAAATTTTATCCGAGCAATTTTTAAATAGTAGAAATAGTCCAAAACTAAGAATTAGTATTGAAGATATTTACAATCCAGCAAACATGTTTCTCACATTTTCTACAAAATCCAATGCAGTTTAATGTCCACTTACTAATTATGTGAAACTTTGTGTAATATTAAGCAATGATTATTATTGGAATAATTTTGCACATTGCTTCCATGTACTGAAATTACTTGATAAGATTAAAATATATGAATAAAATGTATTTTATATCTTTAGTGTTTGTTGCTAAATTCATTTGGATTCTGTTATATTGTTTACTACTGTACTGCCTGAAAAACTGTGCATTTATTTTATAGACAATTGCAAAAGCAGAATTTTACTTTTGATCGGATGGTGAAACCTCCCACAAATCTTCAGTCTCCAGGTTCATTATTAGCATGTAACACCATTTACAGAAACGATTACAGAAAACACTTCACATTGCAGTGGCACATCAGTAAATAGCTTCCAGTTTTGGACAGCTTGAGGCTAACATCATTATGCATCTTTAGTATGGATGTAGGTTGCTAAACCCCCAAACTCTTCCAAGTAATTTTGCCCATTAATGTAGAGTTCCTTTCTATCCCCACATCTTCAGGCCACTTGTATGCACTTGGGACCTGGATGAAGGCAGGACATCATCAACCTGAAAAGTTTATGCCAAGGGTGGGAAGAAGAAGGTGTTAAGTAAAAAGATCAGTGAATGGAGTAGGGAAACCAGTTGGTTTATTTCTGGTTTCAACCAATAAGGTGATAGACTTATATGTCTTGTTACTTGATGCTCATTTCTTAATGATTTAGATCTACTGCATGTTGCTTAGTATTTCTGCTGTCTCTGTGTATATTTCTCTTGTTTATTAATCAAGTTTCCTTTTTTATTTTTAGTTTGGAAATGAGGAGCAGCAACTGGCATGGGCAAAGCGAGAGAGTGAGAAAGCAGAGCAGGAAAGGCTGGCTCGGTTGCGAAGACAAGAACAGGAAGACCTTGAATTGGCTATTGCACTCAGTAAGGCTGATATGCCAAACTCTTAAATATAAGTCTTTGGGCTCCACCCAATTAAAGTCAAACCCTTTAAAGAAGGTTTTGTAAAATTCTTGTTTTTGTTGTGAAGTAATTGTAGTCAAAGTATAAGACGACTGGCTGGTTATATAAAAACTGGATTCTCCATGGCTTTTCAAGTACATAATGCACAGGAAACATACTGTAAAAATTGTATTATACTTCCTTGAAAAATGTTAACTGCTTGTAAGAAATTTAATGTATGACCCTAACATACTGAAAGCAAAGTTTCTTTATAATGCAGACCATGTTGCATACAATAAGCTGCAATGTGTGAATCTGGCTTTATTGCCTAAATTCCAATGTCATTGCTTTGAGGCTGCAGTATGAATAATAAAATTATAGAAAATGACGCTTTTAAAATGTTTATAAATTTATCAGTTAGCTTTCAGTTCTTTTTGTTACATTTGTTTAATTACTCATAGTAGGCCAATGACCATAAAACTGCCTAGCTCAAAGATTTGAGGACAAATTCTTTCTTAGATGTTTCCTTTTCTTCTGTGAGATGTAGCGTATGCTATGAATGAACTCTGATTATTTATCTATTAGACGCTTAGAGATACAATTCAAGTAGAGTCAATGATATTTTGAATTCAGAGCTTATGGGAATTAATAGCTTTTTCTTATTTAAACATGATTATTTGCATAAAAATTTTAATATTTGTACATGGTATTAAAGGAGTAATCTTGATATAGTAAATTAGACAAATGATGACTCAGTTCTAAATCTTGAGATGAAAATAGATTAATTCCATGAACAAGCATGAAGACAGGAATGATAGTGTTTGAGGCTTTTTTTTACATATTGTAATCTTCCCTGCAACAATATTTTCCCTTTATTTGCTCCAACAGGCAGAATATAGGGCTATTATTTGTATTATTCAGTTGACTATGGTACAATCTCTACCTCGGAAGTACTTAAGTGTGTGGTTTTATTTTTAAATATTATGATTAATCTCACTGCCCTTTATTTAAAGTTATACCATTGTAGTCTAGACTAAATTCACATGGATTTCATTTGCAAGTTAGATAGAATAATAGGATATTCATGCAAAAGTTACAGCAATATTTGTAGAGCAGATTTTTTCAGCCTATCTACTGATAGCACTCATTAGGCCAGTATGTCCAGCTTCTTTACAGACTTCCAGAATTCAGCGGGGATGTGACATGTATTTATAGAGGTAATGAAACATGTACTTTACTCATCACAGATATAAAATGAGTACTTAGAGTATTTTTGCTGTGAATTATTCATTTATAAAAACTGCCTTTTTTGGTAAGTTACAGGGATCTCAGCACTTCATTTGTCTTTGTATTGTGCTCTGGTTTTGTTTGTAAATAGAATAGGCATCTAGGGCCAAATTTTCAAAATGTTTTTGTGATACCTGTATTTGCACTGCCAATTCTCTACATGTGCATATTGCCATGTTAATATTCTGAATTCCTGAAAGTGTGCCCCTCAGCTTGTAAAACATTCTCTGGGTAGCATGGTATTCCTTCATCTTCTGCAATGTGTGTTTTACACTTTTGTATGTGTGTGTTCTGTTTTTATTTTTCCTTTTACAATGATGTTAGTGCTTATTTTTCCAGACAAAACAATCCCTACAATATAATTGCCTCGTTCTAGATGCTTTCCTTACACAGAAATAAGAATCGGAGTAAGGATTTTATTTTTTTCTGATGACTAGTTTTCAGACCTGAAATTGCAATTAAACATAGGATGTCTCAGGACAATATTGCATTTGCATTGAAAACTGATTCCATATTGAGAACATCCATTTTAAGGTCTTCAGACCGAATATATTTGACTAAACTGACGCCTATCATCTCAAGAAGACATTCTGTGGAGGAGCTGATCCTGAATGTGTGTGTAACTCCTATTTAATGTTGTTACAAATGGACTTTTAAATTCATATCATGAAAGAAGATACCCCTAAATCTGAACAACACGGAAGCATATGTCTTGTTCTGTATTTGATGTAATAGGCTGTCATGAACACTGTAGGAAATAATCCTGCCGTATTTGGAGTACTTGATGACTTATGTGGTCCCTTCCAAACATAACTGTTTTTCTGTAAAATATATTAGAGAGAGAGACTATGGGCTTGTATACATGGTAGTATAATGCACTCTGTATGGGTGTGATTTCTAAATCACGCTAATGTGTTATGCATTAGTTGATCTACATAGAACCCTAGTGTGAATTAACACAGTACTGATTCAAAAGGTACTGTGTTAGAGCAGTGTATTAGAGCATTGATGTAGTGCTCTTTGAACCAGTGCTGTACTAGCCAGATTTACATGGACCAATTATTATGCCTCACATTACGGAGGTGTGATTTCTAAAGCACACTAGAGTGCATTACCTAACTGCGGGCAAGATGTAACTTATAAAGTCTGATTTCTAAAATTTCAAAGCACGCTCTTTTCCTTTAGTTTACAACATGCCAAACTCATGAAAGCAAATTAGATCTACTTGTAGCTAACATTAATACAAAGATTTTACCATTAAAGTGGGATAAATGTAGAATATACTGTACATGGCAGTGCTATACATGCCATCCTAACTATACAAACAGATGAAATGAGAAACAGCTCTGTGCCTTTTCTCTGTCCACCTTATACTACAGTCACGTTGCTTCAGAGAGATAGTTGACTCTTGTTCTTTCATGGAGCTGTTGTTGCAGTTTGGTTGTTTTATTTACTCTTCTGTTTTTTCTGTCTTGTGTACATGGATATCTTGCATTTATCTTGGTGCCACTCATATATATCACTCTCTTCCAAATTGAAAAAAAAATCTACTGGGATGCAGGATGAAATTAAATAACCTGTATCTGTGCATATAAAGCTTTTAGATTTTTTTCATATTCAGTAACTGTTTCTATTTTATAGGATTTTTCATTCCTCATGCAGCTGAAAAATCTCACATACTGTTTCTAAGTAACTGCAATATCTAAGTCCCCTTGTGAAGTATAGTGTGAACACAGATTGGGGGAGGGGTGTCATTCCTTTGATTTGCAGCTGCATTAGCTCCCTTTATAATTAATAGATTTAATTTGTATTGTGAATGCTGCTTTATAGTAATTTCCTCTTTCATCTCTCCTTCAATATATGGTATCAACTGCACTCACCTCTGACTGCAAGGTCAAGCCACCTTCTGCAAATTGGCAGTGCTGTTCCATTACCTATCATTAGGAGGTGCACTCTCCTCCTCTGCAGTCCCGGGAATAAAAGCATCACTCCTGGAATACACCAAGCCTGAGGAGTGAAAGTTACAAGATAGTGTTCAAGCTTGGGTCTTTGTGTGGAAAATTGGGGTGAAGGGAGTGACATAATTTGTTCTCTTCTGCTCAAATTAAACAGTATCTTTAAACCAATTTATAAAGGAATTCTGCTTCTGGGTCACCACGCATAAATGAGACCTGTGGATGAGCTAAAGAGCCAGATTCATCAGAAAATTAATTTTCCATAGAAATATTTTCAGCCACTTTATCAAATCTGAAATCTTCTAATAGAATTGCGATACTTTTGAGATATGCAGTGAGATTACCTCACCCACTTTGTTTCCCTTAGTTCTGTGATAGTTAATGTTTAGGGGACACAGTCTGAGGTCAGAAAAGTGAATTGATCATATATATAAATTTAGTGTTAGACCCAAATATAAACTTTATGTAAGGTATAGCCTTGTGCCACCAAATATAGAGGGTAGATCAGTAGCAAAAGGCCGGGCAAGTTAATAAAACAGTAATCCAAGAAAATATGTAGTTAATCCATTTACAGTTGCAAACATACAATAACCCTAAGTTGTTCTGAGATGGTTTTAACTTTGAAAGAGAAGAGATACATTTTAGAAGGCTGAAATCTAGGAAAATTCCCTTTGATTTCTTTCTGTAATATCTAACAGTTTTTCCTTGTAGAAAGCAGGCATCGTCTTACTTCCCTAGCCTGGAGGCAACTTTTTTTTTATTGAAATCACTCCACTTTTTCTCCTAAAGCAAACATTTATCTGAACCCATTATTCTTTCCTTCTTCCACCAATCATTGAAATCATAACCATAAGCTATTCACTTCAGTTTGGGAATATCAGCACATGCACACACAAAAATAAGATACATTTGTATGTAAATATACAATAAATTATATAACAGACAGTGTGTATACATTCACAAAAACTATATTTAGTATATTATCATAGGTGATCTATAAAATGTATATGCAATAAATATATAGTATATCATTATATACATTCTATATATAAAATGTGTATATATGTCTATATGGATATGTGCATTTTGTGTATAAAAATGGAAAATTAGACCATTGTGCTTAGAATTACAAAGTCTGTGCAAAGAAAAATTTAACTTACTTCTTCCAATCATTTAGTAAAATAATACTGTGATTGGCATGAGACGCTGTGTGAGTTTTACCAGATGTCAGAGAAACCTGAGGGGTTTGTCTGTCAAAGATTAATACAATCTGCCAAAGGTAGCAGTTGACAGGGATATTATCACCTGTGTCCACTTGCACTTGTTGTCTCTGAATGTCTGTGTTTTGGAGACATCTCATTCCCTTCTCTCAGCATTAGACCAAGCTTTGCCTCCTGGTTGTGGTAGTGGTGGTGAATATTTTATTGATGAATTAAAGAATCTTTCACATAGCTTCATATTTGGACATTAAGTAGAAATATAGTAGAATGTGCCTTTTTCTCATTCTCTTGACTGTCGTTTTGGTTGCACAGTCACTCTTCTCTGAGTCTGAACTGTCTTTTGTTTGAGAGCTCTCATCTAAGATTTTGTCTTAGGAGAAGTGATTGTGCATTTCATTTTTGTCTTTGATAAAAGAATTAACATGATTCTGTTTTCTACAGGGAGAAATCATTAGACTACGGTTTGTGAAACAATCACAAAAGTTTCTAGATTAGTATGTGTATTCATAAATGCAGAGGTACATACTAAACTGCAGTCACTCACTGATTGATTACCACACAACACCACTAAATGGCATTTCAGACTGAAATGGAAAAAGATTTTATCTATTTGAAACGAGGCTTTTACAAAATATTCTTGTAGGACTTGCCAACCATTCTACCACAAGAACAGATAATACAAAGAGATGTAGTGGTACCTCTGTAGTGGTGGTGGTGTATGAGATTTCATATGATCAACAAAGTTTTCCTTATGGAACCTCTGGCCTAATTATTTAAGTGGGGAAAGTGTTCAGTAATACATTTTATTTTATATAGTGGGTTCTTAGATATAAGGAAATTCCAAGCTGTATCTATTAAGGTATGGCACTTTTTGTTCTGGTCTGTGAAATCCTATTAGGCACTCCAGATAAATCACCTTGTCATCACTTCTGCTTTGCAATTAGACAGTATTTTTTCTAAGGTTCTTCTTGCAATCTTTTTGAGGTCACCATTTTATTATTTTAATATTTCTTCATATTTGTCTTGAAGTTTCAGCACTTATGGAATGTTGGTTTAAACATTAGAAATCATTGTTTTCCCATGTGTAATGATCATTCCTATTTTCTACTTTATTGCTGATTCTCAGAAAATGAATTCTATTTAATTCCACTCTTCTAAAATAAGTTCTGTCAAATAGATATTTTGTTTTGATCTCTGCTAATAGATTGTGTAATTATAAATACATTTACCTGTTCCACAATCAATTACATTACAAATAGTAACAGTTAAATATTTAAGACCTAGTATTTACATTTTTTCTGCAGACATTCTAGTCACAATTCAATTCATTTACATTTTCTGAGTTAAGAAAATTTTGTCACAAATTCTGCTTTGAACATGGTGGAAACATTAAGGCTTTTTAGAATAAACAAGTTAACTTTTAATAATTGTTGACATTTGTCTTAGCAATTGTTATTTCATGGTTCTTTTTACTTGAAAGATTTATAAATAAAAGGATGAATTGTTATACATGCTTGTCATTTAAAATTAAATTTTAATTTTTTCAACTTTTGCTTTTCCCTTTAAAGCTAAATAACTTTAAAAGGTAAACTTAGTATAAATGCTTCCATTTTCTATTAATATAATGATAGTGCTATGTTCCTTAATGTCCATCTTACTATGACTTTGTTTAATCTGATGGCTAAAAAGGTGAAAACATAAAGTGGAAACTGCAGTGTTTACCAGAAATTCATTAGTCCATCCAAATATGTACATTACTGTAGTTATATTTATCCTTTAAATATCATATAGCAAATTGGAAAAAGGTGTTTTAATTTTAACCTATGCTATGTGTTTATTAATACAATAAGAGAAACATTGTTTAATATAATAAATGTAAAGTTACTTTTTTTGAGTTCTGCGTCCCTGATTTCACTATCTTTGTGTCAGTTTTGTGACTCTTGTTTAGAATTACATTTGTAGGTTGTGTATTTTTTCTGATTGTTGGCCTGTCCAGCCTATTGTCCTCTCTCCACCAACCACAGTTGGCATGTATTCTCAAGTCACAAGACCTCATTACCACACCTTCTACAGAAACAGCCTATGTCCCAGAATGTTAAACCTTCAGGGATTTAACACAGGAAGGAATTCTCAGAGCATTGCAGACAGCCTCTTACACTGAGGTGTGTTTGACCAATGGCCTGAAAAAGGATTAATCTGTTTGATTCTGCCTCATTATTTCTGCCAGACACTACTTGCTAATTTTATTGAAACCAGGATTGTGTCAATTTCATAGACTCGTAGGGCTGGAAGAGACCTCAGGAGGTCATTGAGTCCAAACCCCTGTCCAAAGCAGGACCAACCCCAGCTAAATCATCCAAGAAAGGCTTTGTAAAGCCGGGATTTAAAAATGGAGATTCCACCACCTCTCTAGGTAACCCAGTTCAGTGCTTCAGCATCTTCTTAATAAAATAGTTTTTCCTAATATCCAAGCTAGACCTCCCACACTGTATCTTGAGACCATTTTTCCTTCTTCTGCCATCTGTCACTACTGAGAACAGCCTCTCTCCATCCTCTTTGGAATCTCCCTTCAGGAAACTATCAAATCTCCCCTCTCTTCTTTTCTGTAGACTAAATAAGCCCAAATCCCTCAGCCTCTCCTCATAGGTCAAGTGCTCCAGCCCCCTAATCTTTTTGGTTGCCCTCCACTGGACCCTCTCCAATGCATCCACGTCCTTTCTATAGTGGGGGGCCCAGAATTGGTGGCAATATTCCAGATATGGCCTCACTAGTGCTGAATAAAGGGGAATAATCACTTTGCTAGATCTGCTGGAAATCTAATGCACCGTAACATGCCATTAGCCTTCTTGGCTACAAGGGCGCACTGTTGACTCATATCCAGCTTCTCATCCGCTGTAATCCCCAGCTCCTTTTCTGCTGAACTGCTGCCTAGCCATTCGGTCCCCATCCTGTAACGATGTTTGGGATTCTTCCATCCCAAGTGCAGGACTCTACACTTGTCCTTGTTGAACCTCATCAGATTTCTTTTGGCCCAGCCCTCTAAACTGTCTAGGTCACTCTGGACCAGGGTATCCCAAACTATGGGTCGGGACCCAAATATGGGTCGCCATTACATTTCAAAAGGGTCACCAGGTGTCTTCCCAGGTGGCTCTTAAGGAATCATTCAAGCATTTTTTGAATTGCCCTGTGTCACCAAGTATTCCTGAATTGTCAAAATGGGCCCCTATCTGGAAAAAATTGGGAACCACTGCTCTGGACCCTATCCCTGCCCTCCAACGTATCTACCTCTCCCCCTAGCTTAGAGTCATCTGCAAACTTGCTGAGGGTGCAATCAATCCTCTAATCCAGGTCATTAATGAAGATGTTGAATAAAACCAGCCCTAGAACCGATCGTTGGGGCACTCCGCTTGAAATTGACTGCCAACCAGACATCGAGCCATTGATCACTACCCGTTGGGCCCGACAATCTAGCCAGCTTTCTATCCACCTTACAGTCCATTTATCCAATCCATATTTCCTTAACTTGCTGGCAAGAATATTGTGGGAGACCGTATCAAAAGCTTTGCAGAAGTCAAGGAATAATCCCTTGACTCTTAGGAGGGGTTTCTGCACCCTGCTTCAGTTTAATCTGTTCAGGGAACAAGAGACTTGGTGATTCTAGGAATGCTTTGACTTCTTTTCTTTTTTTTTTTTATAGATACAATACCAAAACCAGCGTTATGAAAAGACCAGACAAATCAGGCTAGAAAATCCCTTTACCCCAAAAAAGCAATTGCTGCACAGTATCAGGGTAAATGTAAACTACTATAATAAAGATTTTTTTTAATTGACAAGGTAAGAAGACTGTTTCTATGCTTGCTTCCTTTAAAATCAGGTGATTAAATGCATTTTTCTTCTGCACAGTAAAGTTTCAAAGCAGTATTAAGTCTGTGTTCAGTTGTAAACTTTATAAAGAACAGCCATATTATCTTGTTCAGAATTAGAAACATTGTACAGGTACAACCAGTCTCCATTCCTGAGGCATTCGTAACTCTGAGGTTCTATTGTAGATCAATAAACAATGATTTGCTGCCCTTCCGAAGCTATTCAGCAGCAAGAATATTCTTCTTCCTTTGTTTTGAGGGTTGTGTGTTAAAATACAGTCTTATGAAAAATAACTTGTAATTTAAACAAGCATTAGGCATAGGTGCTAAAATAATTTGTGGAAAACCTCCAAGGCAAAACAGGTTCTTGGTAAATGTAATGTCTGGTGGGGTGCTCAGTCTACTCTTCCAGATGTTTCCTGATGGGTCAAGCACTGTAGGACTACTTTGAAATGTAAGAACATTACAAGATCACTCAGTGAAGTCCACTTAAAGGGATACTGTATCAAAGCATAAATCCACTAAAAAGATAAATGTCTTCAGCAGCAATCTCTACACATATTGGATTTATGGTCAAGCCAAAGAATGCCTTGTTTTAATTTGCAAACAAATGACAGCTGAAGCAGGTAAATAAAAGATAGGGGAGTTGTCCTGATATTGCTATTTGTGATGAACTTTTAAAATAAATTTTAGCTTAAGGTAAACCCTTTAGTATGAAAACAAATAATGAGCTACAATGTTGCAGCCAACCTTTTCCTTTAGGAGGCCAAAGTTAAGAGCCTAAGTAAGTGGCTGAGGTTCCCACTGATTTCAGTTAAGGTGAGATATTTTTGCATATTTTGCCTTATCCTATTAAATAAATAAGCCATGTAAAAAGTAGATCAATTAAACATGCTCTAGTTACATGTAAATATTATGAACCTCAATCCCCTGAATGACATCAATGATGGAATATTTAAATACAGAGCCTCCACACGAACTATGTTCTCTCTCATGGCTCTTAGGCATTAGTACAGCAGCCATCACTGTCAAGGTAAAGGTGCATAGTTGAGGGGAATATGGCACATCTGCTTTTTGAGATACCATGGAAAGTCCTGACTGCCTTTTTCCAATGGATAGAGAAGTGATCTCTTATTCCTGCATACTTCATATTGGTGTCCTGCACAAAGCACAAGACTTATTTTCATCCATCAACAGGAAGAACGGGGAGGCAAATCAATTGATTAGCAAGACTCTGCAGTTGCTCTTGGGCTTTGTGGAGCAAATCCTGCTAGGGAAGCAATTGGGTAAAATTTCCATTGCCATTAATGAATTGCTAAATCTCTGTTAAATTATACTAAAAGTTCTGTTTGATATCTTTTGTGTGCTCTGAAAAACAAGCAACACCAAGGTCTTGCTATTTGGTTCGCAGCAGCCCCCATGGTATCTTTACTCATTCTGATTTGATTGCCAGCTAAATGGTAGGCATTGCAAGCTTCCACAAAGCTATTGTCCCTCATTTCTCAACTGTCAGAGGTCTTAAGGGAGCATCTGGACTCATTTTAGTGGCAGGCATGATAAGGAACAGGTTGGGGCTTGCTCTTTTGTTTCAACTTTGAAAGCATGTGTGATATGGTGCTTGCAAATAGCAGCTCCTGCAGCTAGGCCAGTGTCTTTGTTTGCAAAAGAGGTGCATGGTTGCAGGGCCGGGGCTAACATGACTGTGTGTTCAGCACCGCCTATTTTCTGGGAGAATGCAACTTACCCTTCCCACAGGAGCCTGCAAGCAGGAGGGGTCCAGGTGTGGCAGTAGGACAAGGGTCCACATGGACACCAAGGAGCCTGCAGGAGAGGGAGGGGTCAGGTATGGCAGCAGGAGAGGTTCATACAAACGTCGAGGAGCTTGCAGGGGCTGCGGCAGGGCAGGGGCTCACGCACTCTGCAAACCAGGCCTTGTTGTGGATGAACAAACGGAGGTGCGCGGTCCCAATGGCGTCCGTTACAGAGCTTCCAGGTTGCCATGTGCAATATCAGTCTTCTCTGAACCACACAGAATGATGGGGGAGTGGATGCTGACTGAATGTGGCCAGAAACCTGGACCTTGTGATGCAATAATGCCAGATCACTCACTGCTGACGTGGCATAGGAAGGTGCCCTATTCTGGAGAGCGGAATAAGGCAGGCCTCCCCAGAAACCTGGTGAGAAGCATGCAACGGTACCTCTATGAGAGCTTTATGGAGATGTGTGCAGGGAGGATTCCTGCTCTGTCTTCAGACACGGTAACTGTTCTAGGGGAGCCCCCACTGTGTAGGCAGAATGGATGCCACAGATCACATCAAATTGCCTTAACCCACTTGTAGAATGATTAAAAATGTGAACTCACTAGAAGTGCCCTTTCCCCTCCCCTCAGCAAAGTCCAGCAGCAATATGTCGGCAGGAGGGGATTAACTCCAAAGCTTAAAAAAAAAGGTCCTGGCTGTTGGTAAGATCAGATGTTCCACTCACCTGCTGACCACTCTGCTCCTCTCCTCTTCCTCATCCACATTGTCCTCCCTGCCATTGCCTGGGGCTGGCTGAAGGTTCTCTTGGGAGAATCCACCGACTGTGAGGGAGTACTGGGGGCACCCCTAGAATCCCATGCAGCTGCTCATAGACGCAGCATTTTTGCAGCAGTGATTCAGTCCATCCATTTGCCGCCTTTGTCTTCTGGTGCCTGCGTTCCTTTATTTTCATGCAGCATTGCTAGCATTGCTTGCATATCCTTCTCCTCCAAGCCTTGGCCAATCTTGGCATAGGCATCAGCTTTTCTTTTGCTGCTTTGTAGTTCTGCCTGAACAGATCCCTCTCCCCACATAGCAATCAGGTTCAGGATTTCCTGCACACTCCATGCTGGAGCTCTTTTGTAACCCTGGGCATTTTTCATGGTCAGGTGTGTTGCTGAGGAGTGCTGCTTGCTCTGAGGTCTGCTTGCCATGCTAGCCAAACAGGAAATTAAATTCAACCTTTCCTGGGCCATTTCCTGCACACTGGAGA